GAAATTGAAACCAAATAGTTTGAAACCAAATAGTTTGAAACCAAACCGAACTAAAACTAAATGGTTTGGTTCCATTTCGGTTCAAACTTTAAACCTCACTGAATCAAACCCCAAAAATTTTCGGTTTCGGTTTCATCCAAAATCATACCGAACGGAACCGTGCCCACTCCTAATCACACTCATGATTTTTGCCTTCTCTGTACAAAACAAGTTCAAAACCACTGCTATCACCTTGTGCCTATTAGAAAGTTCGTACTTTGAACTCAAGTCATGGATTCAATCACTAAAGTTCGCTTGATCAACCACTGTAAAAGACAGCTCAGCCTTTATAATCCACTAACACACTTTAAATCAATTTTTATTTATTTATTGAAAGTGTGAGAGACATTATTTGAAACCCCCCATCTCCTCTTGTGTCAGCAATGGTTGCTTAGAATCGGGGAGCATCGTAGAGAAATAGAACCTGGACATTTCTTCAAGTGGTTCATAATTCTCGTTATCCCATGTTTGCAGAATATACCGGTACTCACGTTTTGCAAAGCTTGCATTCCGCTACCCATACTACTCTCCCACTTTCATCCGTTACTTCCAGCTTAGTGGCATCTTGTCACACCGAACTTGGCCCCTTCCTTCTATAACCCCTATTTCGTTTACTTCCCACCTTCGCCCTCTCCATAGTTTCTTCTTCCTCTACTTCTTCTAATTAAATATCACAATCCCCATTAGGATTATTATCGTACTCATCTTCATAATAATCATCATAATGATATTGTTCATTTTATTGAGGGAGTTTATATTTGAGGGGTGTAGGTGGGATTTGACTTGTTTGCTTTTGGTTACCTTAGACAGTAGGGGTGCGTTTGTTTGCACTTGCTAGCACTCACTAGACCGAACTGGACTAAGTGGTAGTCTAGTCCCATGTTAGTTACACGCCGGGACAAGCATTAATGAGACTCACCTCGACTAAACAGGACTAAGCACTTCGCTAGAGGGTCTTACCAAAACCCCTAAAAAACAACTGGATTGCTAGTCCCGTCTCATTCGTCTGCAAGCCGTGTCCCGCGAACCAACTTGAGCAGAACCCCTCTTCTCCAGTGACCAAACCAGAAACGGCTGTCGCCGATCTCCACCGTCCTGCAAACCCAACACCCTTTTGGCATTTCGGTTGGTGATTAGGGGTCTTTCGCCATCTGGGTCGTCCCGAACAACGGCAATGACAGATCTTTTGCTACCTTCACTCCGCTTTTCCCTTCCCATCTCCTCCTTCCTCGCTTCCCACAACTTGAAAACCCAAAAAATCGAACCCAGAAAACCTAGAAGATCGAACCCAGAAAACCCAAAAAAAAATTTGTGAGATGAGCTTGAATCAATGACGAGAGTGATAGCGCAAACCAAACCCAGAAAACATAATTTGTTATGAACTGATGATTGTGATTATCTTAATCACAAATTAAGAGTCAAAGTTCGCTGTAATTAAGGGTTTTACTTGTTATTAAGGAAATTTGTTAGAAATGCCAACTGGCACTAAAGGTGTAAAGCCTATAAAAAGAGCTAAGCTCCCTGAATTGTAGTAGATCAGAATTTACACAAAAAGAAATATGAACAAAAACAATTCAAGAGCTCTGCTCTCTCTCTCTCCCTTCCCTTTCCATCTCTATCCTCTGTGTCACTTGCAGGTTGATTAAGGGGTTAGAGATTTGGATCTTATCAATGGTATCAGAGCCAGATTTGATGAAATTCCACCTCTATTTCATGAAGAGACTAAGAAGGAGAAGGAGAGAGAGATAGTTACTCTTCACTGTACGGTGTGTGGTGTGGACGGAGGAGGAGAGACCCTTGGAGTTGAAAGAGAGCGTCGGTCGAATTCAAAAGAGAAGGCAAAGTCGTTGATTCGAGTCCAGACAAAATAAAATTAAGGTGAGGTCGAGAGGGAAGGGATTGATTGAATGGTTGAGATTAAATCTCAACTAATATGACAGCGATAATAGTTTATAATGTTATAATATATTATATAATTTAAATGAGAATTGTTATTAGCACTTCAAAAATCTTATCTTAGACTCCTCACAAGTGTATTTTTCTTTCAAATTATATAAAATTTGGAGTGCCAAATGAGATTTTTGGATTGCTAATAACAATTTCCATTTGAATTAATATATATATACACACACACCCTTTTATGCAAAGGGATTCCTAGCTTTTTTCAAAAAATGGTGATTGGATGTGGGGCCATTTCCACATCGAACTTCAAAAATCTGAATCATCTATTTTGTAAGTCTCGATTCATAGATCATCCTTACAAAAATTCAAGTCAATCCGAAATCATTTGCCTATTTAATTACCAAAATAAAATTTGGGTAAATTACATAATAACCCTTCAGTTTGAGGTATAATACAACCCTATACTACATTTTTAAAACATTTCACTTTCATACCTCATGTACAATTTTATTTCAAAATAATACCTTCATTAGATTTTCCATCCATTGATCCGTTAAATGCTGACATGGATGCCACATTTGTGCCAAATGTGTGCCATGTGGCAAAAAAATAATTAATTTTTTTTTTCAAAAAAACCTGAATCTTCTAAATTAAAAAAAAAATAACAAAAACAAAAGGAAAGCAAACGCACCTCCCTCCCCCTCCTCCTCCTCCCTTCTCCCCCATCTTCATCTTCTTCCCCTGCAAGCTGCAACCTAGAAAAAAAAAAAAAACTTTTCAGTTCGTCTTCCCCCTCCTCCTCCCCTCTCTTCTCCCCCATCTTCATCTTTTTCCCTTGACCCCCTACCTTCAACCGAAAAAAAAAAAAACCACAGATCTCGTCTACGCCGCCATCGCCGGTTTGTGAGGTGAAAATGGGAGGAATGGGTGTGGATTAAAGGAGTGCTTGTGTAGAGGAGGGAAGAGGGTGGGTGCGGGTGCGAGGGTGGATGCGGGTACAAGGGTGGGTGAGGGAAAAGGGGTTTTTTTTTTTTTGGTGGCGTTTCATTCTTTTCGCCCTACAACCCTTCCTTCCTTCTCTTGGGTGGCGGCAGTGAGCAACCGAGGCCCTAAGTCTTCACAACTAGGGTTTCAAGAAACCGAGACGGGGACTCCGAAATCGAAATATCACAATTAAGGTCTTGCATTGAAACCAAAAAAACCCTTCACTTCCGTGTCAGGTAACCATATTTCCTTCTCACAATTTGGTATCAGAAATGTGGAGTTTGAATTTTGGATTTACAGTTTTTGCTTAAATGTTGTCCCTTACATTGTTTGTGTACTTGGAAATGATAGAAATTGGTGTGGAAGAAGATGAAGATCCCCCGGGGGGGGGGGGGGGAGTAGGGGGAGGGAGGTGCGTTTGCTTTCCTTTATTTTTTTATTTAGAAGATTCAGGTTTTAAAATTTTTTTTTTTGCCACGTGATACACATTTGGTAGCCATGTCAACATTTAATGGATCAATAGATGAAAAATCTAACGAAAGTATTATTTTGAAATAAAATAGTACGTGAGGTATGAAAGTGAAATGTTTTAAACATGTTGTATGAGATTGTAATAAACCTCAAACCTCAGGGGTTACTATGTAATTTACCTATAAAATTTAATTATTTCTTATATAATAAAATATTCGTTAATTTTTTTGAACCCATTTAGATGTCTTAAATATTTCCAATTTAACTAATATTTTGAATGATCTATGAGGTGTAACTTGAAAATAAACGGTTCGAATTATTAAAATTTAATGTGATATAGACATTACAACTAATCCTTATTTTTTATAAAAAAAATTAGAATCCATTTCTTTAAAGGCTTCTTATATACATGTATTCTTAAAATTGGATCGGTTCGATACTACCGAACTAACAGATATTAGATCCGATCAAGGATTTAAATATCGATATTATCGGCGATATTTCGCCGATAATATCGTTTTTTACAGAGACCGATTTTTTTACACATATCCAGTCATTTATCGTCAAAATATCGCAATATTATCGATAATATCGCGATATTATCGATATTACCGATAATATCGCTGAGCTCCGTCGTCAGCGACCGGAGCTGCCAAGATCTGCGCGATTTGGGGGGGGGGAGAAAGAGTCGCGAAGAGGAGTCGCGGGGGCGCGAGAGTAGCGGAGAAGAGGAGTTGTGAGGGGGGGGGAAGGAAGAACGGTTGCACAGCTGGGTGGTGGATTTGAGCGGTGGGGGGGAAGAACAGTTGCGCAGCTGGGTGGTGGATTTGAGCGGTTTGAAGAATGTTTCTGCGGAGGGGCTGTGGGAAGCGGTTTGAAGAAAGTTTTTGTGAAGGGGTTGTGGGAAGAAGAGTCGCAGAGAAGAGGGGTCTGGGAATCTGCAGAGAGGGGGGGACGGTGGGCTTTGGGAATCTGGAGATAATGGTTCGGGGGGGGGGGTGGCTGGGAAGAACAGTTGCGGAAGGGAGTTGTTTATGTGGATTTGAGTGGTTTGAAGAAATTTTCTGTGGGTTTGAGTGGTTTGAAGAAAAAGGAAGGAGAGGACTGCAGGAGCTGCAGAGAAGAGATGGGGGGACCGGAGAGAAGAGATGTGGGTTTAAAGTGTAAAATATTGTACTAATTCATTATATATAAATGATTATGATGTGTTTAAACTTCTTTCATTAATTACTACATATTTTATACACTCATAATGTTTGCCAGCTTGCTATATAATCAACTTAAATCAGTTAAATCCATCATGCAATATATTTCCTTCCAATTTTTTTTGTGATAAACTAATAGATAATTGACTAAATAAACATTCTGTAAAGTTTCAATAAAAATTTCCAAGTTTTTCTTACAATTTCCGTGGTTTCCATATAATTTTTATCGATATCGATAATATCCCGATATTTCCATCGATATTTCCGTGTTTTCAGACTACCGATATTTCCGATATCATCGATATTTAAATCCTTGGATCCGATAACGTTCAAGAATTTTTGGCTTCGATACCGAGTGGTTTGATATTATCGGTTCGGTTTTATTTGGAGCTGAGTTAGGTACGAATCGGTCGATTTTTTCCAGCCGTACCAAAGACCCGCCAGCAAAGCCCAACATCTCTCTACTTCTCCAAACTTCTAAACATTCTCCCTCTTATCACTCTCGCTCCTCAAACCCTCCACTTAGGGTTTGTTTGCGCCAAATTCCCGCCAAGAACCCACACTTCAGATTCAACAGTTTTCTCGAGAAAATCCGAGAATTTCCGAGAAAGTGAAAGGAAGAGCATGGGCAAAGACGACGAAGAAATGAGGGGAGAGATAGAGGAGCGGTTGATAAACGAGGAGTACAAGATATGGAAGAAGAACACTCCGTTTTTGTACGATCTGGTCATAACCCATGCCCTAGAATGGCCATCGCTTACTGTGGAGTGGCTTCCCGACCGAGAGGAGCCTCCGGGGAAGGACTATTCGGTGCAGAAGATGATTTTGGGGACCCACACCTCCGAGAACGAGCCGAATTACCTTATGCTCGCTCAGGTTCAGCTGCCGTTGGAGGACGCCGAGAACGATGCGCGGCATTATGATGATGATCGAGCTGAGGTTGGGGGTTTCGGTTGCGCCAATGGAAAGGTAACGCTTGATTTTGTGGTCTGAGTTGTTAATTTTGGCGGTGAAGAACATGAACAATTCGTACCGATTTCTTAAAGACTTCAAATTTGGGGGGTTTGGATTGCGGCCCTGTCCGGGGGTGTAGAGAAAGTGCTAGGAAATCCAATAAATTTTGAATCTTTTTTTTTGTCCGAAATTCTGTCTTGTTTGTTAGAGATAAAAAGCAATTACCGGAATCTAAATTATTGTAAACTTGAAAGAAAATGAAAAATTTCATTCTCTTTTAGTCATTACTAAGGTTTGATTTTTAGAAGAAGTTGTTCTCTGAGGAAAATAAAGGAAAAATTAAATAGAAACGAAATCGGGTGTGTCCGAAAACGAGAAAACACACCAGCTTTCTGAATTGTGTTCCAAGTTGACTCCAGAAGACAGGATTGCACTTGTTTGAATAAGAAAAGTACTACTGGCTATTGGTATAAACGTCCCTAGAATTACAGAACCAAAAACATTGTCTATTAGCAAATGCTTCATGCTCTGGTTGGGAATCATTACCGGTCCAAAAGCATTGTCTATTAGCAAGTGGTTCATGCTCTGGTCGGGATTCATGAGCTGCTCGCAGCCCATATGACACTCTAATAACTGAACCGAAGTACCGTCGTTTGGCATATGCTGTAGGTATTTAAATCATTCTGTGTCTAAATGGACTCAAGTATGTGGTCTTACATTTTCTTGCAGGTGCAAATAATCCAGCAAATAAATCATGATGGAGAGGTTAATCGGGCTCGTTATATGCCTCAGAATCCATTTATTATTGCCACAAAGACTGTCAATGCTGAAGTTTTTGTGTTCGATTATAGCAAACATCCATCTAAGCCTCCCATAGATGGTGCATGCAGTCCTGATTTAAGGCTGAGGGGCCACAGCACTGAAGGATATGGTTTATCGTGGAGTAAGTTTAAGCAGGGTCATTTACTCAGTGGTTCTGATGATGCTCAGATATGCCTGTGGGATATTAATGCGACTGCTAAGAACAAAACCCTTGAAGCTATGCAGATATTTAAGGTATGTCTGTACATCTATGCATATAGAGATATGAATCTTATCAAAGCATGTGTGAAATTGTAATATAGATGATTGTGCACAGATGTGCTATTATTTAATTTAAAGAAAAAGCTACAATTTCATGTGTACCAGAGGAAGGCTATCATTAAACATGACAGCTGCGGTGTGTTGATTTGGATGAAATAAGATAGCACTTCATAGGAAAATACTTGTATATAGTTGCTACTTCTCTGCATCTTATAGGTAAAAGTTTTCTGTTGTTTGAAATGGTTACCGGATTAGGTTCATGAAGGTGTAGTAGAAGATGTAGCATGGCATTTGAGGCATGAAAACTTATTTGGTTCTGTTGGCGATGATCAATACCTTCTTGTATGGGATCTCCGAACTCCATCAGTTACCAAGCCTGTTCAATCTGTAGTTGCTCATCAAAGTGAGGTGAGTGATGTGAATAGTCTCTTGTTGGTACAGATAAGTTATGTTTATGCATCTAACATTTAAACGTCAATCTAGGTACATTCAGGCCTGTTCGTGTATTATTTGTGTTCTAATATTTGAATTTATATGTTTTGATTGCTGTAAATTGGTGCCTTTAGCTAATGAGTACTGTAATTTGGTTAAATTGATAAGCATGGTGACAATCTGGAGATATTTTGTGGAACCCGGAGGGACTGAGACAACAATAGCTATTCAGGAAAGCTGGGATGCCAGCTTTAAACTATAATTATTGACATTTCTGTAATAAAAAGGGAAATTTTGTACTAGTGACATTTTGGCTTTACATAGATAGCTTGGTCAATTTGTTGCAATGAAATTTAACCTTATTGCAGGGTTGTACCTAATTGAAACAAGAGCATGCAATCATTGTTGAGATGGTTATGCTGTATTTAGATGTGAATCATCTTTGTGGGCAAAGGCCTCTCCTGTGATTTTCTTCTAGACTCTCGAGCTCCTAACTTTGTGTAGAACAATATATCCGTTACACTTTTGCAAATTTGTGAGGTTTATAGTTTTCTTCATCTGATATTGTAATGGGTTAGTTCTTTACGTGAGGTTTATAGTTTTCTTCATCTGATATTGTAATGGGTTAGTTCTTTACGTGAATATTTATCCTTAGAAAGTTGGGACAATTATGGAGTAGTTTGTTTATGTGATATTTTTTTCAGGTTAACTGTTTAGCTTTCAATCCCTTCAATGAATGGGTTGTTGCAACTGGATCTACTGACAAAACTGTTAAGTTGTTTGATCTACGAAAAATCAATACTGCACTCCACACCTTTGATTGTCATAAGTAAGGATCCTCCCCTGGATGTCAAAAGTTTGGATGTTCTAAATTATCTTTGCTGCAATCCATCTATAGATCTGATATCAAATGTTTTTTCTGTGGTGTTTTAGGGAGGAGGTTTTCCAAGTTGGTTGGAATCCAAAGAATGAAACTATCTTAGCTTCTTGTTGTCTTGGTAGGAGACTCATGGTGTGGGATCTTAGCAGGTATTCCTTGAATAACCCATTGTCATATTTTATTTTTGTTATACAAGGAGAGGCGATCTCCACTCCAACTTGTTCTTTTGTAACAGAAATCAATATGTTTTAAGTGCCTGTTCTGGTGAAAGCATTTAGGCTATGGCTCTAGAATTAGTGGTTTAGTTGGGAAACCAGATAGTAAGAGCTTCAATAGATGCATGACGAAAATAATTCAGTGGAGCCTTAAAGCATCATACAGAAGTAGGGGTTTTAGGCATCAGACCACATGGAGGGATCATCTCTTTAACAGTTGAAGTGCGTATATTTGAGCAGGCACTTACAGCCGGGCTTGTCCAAGCTTGCTGGTTATTCATGGTCCTAACCAAAAAGAGTAGCCAAACTAAAATTTAAGTGCACATAAAACAGAAGCCTTGAGTTAATGAAGCCAATGGAGACCTCAGATTAGAAGACTAATCTATGGTTGGCCACACAATAACAAATATCCAAGTGCCAATTCCTCTTGAATATTTCATCCAATCTCACAATTGATGTTTCAGCAAATTTTGTCATAAGCATCAATAAATGTTTTTCAATACAACAAAGAAACCCCATGGAAACAAAATATAGAAGTGACACTGGCAAAACCAGGGGTATGGAGGATTATTTTCAGAAAAAAAAAAGAAAAAAACCCGTCGTGGTCAATACCATTAAGCCACTTCTGCCCCTCACATGTTGTCCCAAGTCACAATGCTACAAGAACAAAGATTTAGTTACTAGTGTTATGATAGCTTCAATATGAGGAATTCCAGGATATACGTATATGTGTCTTTGCCGTGTGTTTCTTCTAATTTTCGGATTTAACCGATGTGTTCATTGTTGTGTCTTTTTGTGCTTAATTTGTAATAAAGAGAGAATCTTCGGACATGGGTTGAATAAGCATCCACACCTGTATAATTATGATGTCCTAGTAACTAGTTTTGATCATTGTGTACTATATATTATATTTGCATGAGAGCAAATCTTAACCTAGATGTTATAACTTGGTTTCTTTTACAGAATTGATGAAGAGCAGACACCAGATGATGCAGAAGACGGCCCTCCAGAGTTGCTTTTTATTCATGGGGGTCACACCAGCAAAATATCTGATTTTTCGTGGAACCCCTGTGAAGATTGGGTTATTTCTAGCGTCGCTGAAGATAACATACTCCAAATATGGCAGATGGCAGAGAACATTTACCATGACGAAGATGATTTACCTGAAGAACCGGCAAAGCCCTAGTGTAATTTCCAATACTTAGCCAAATGTAGTCGGTAGAAGCTAATTAGGGAAGGGGGCATGCAGCACGCTTTGTTTATTTATGTTTATCTGTAATTTTATTATTTTCTGACCCATACTTAGAAGCTAATTGAGGATTTGTGTTTTCTTTACCGAGTCCGACGAGGGATGTATTTGACCCATGCTTAGTAATTAATTATATGCAGTACTACGGCATGGAAGTAATTTTCCAGTGAAACTTCGTACTATTTTTCGGTCCAGTGAAACACCAAGTCTGCATATTAAGAGATGGTTTTGCAGGAAGCGCTAAGTACTTCCTAGTTTAAATAAGCACATTTTTATCCATTTCTGTCGAAATGCCAGCATGGTTTGTGGTTATTTAAAAGTGCTTTTTGAGAAAATCTCAAAGTGCTTCTAGCATTCCACCAAACTGTTGTTGGGTATGTTGTCTCATTTTTTTTTATATTTTTTTAAGTGTAGTCCAACATTTTCCTCTGGTCTTAGAAAAAATAAAGGTTTTCAGTGCCATTTTGGACTTGCATTCCAAGTTCAGCATGGATTATGTGCATGCAGTAATGAGTAATTCATAGAGACATGATCGCGATTTACACTTTGTTGCTTTGGAGTAAGAATAAAAATGCAAGAAATTTGTAACTCAAGTGGTTAAAAGCGTTTTGCTCCTGCACCCGAGTCTTCTGTTCAACTACCCTCTCCTGCAATATCACTTGTGTAAATGAAAGTAGAATAAAAATAAATAGGAAATATTGGAATGTAGATGAATTAGAAGATACTTCAAAAGAAACATTACAGATTTAACACTCAAAAACAAATCCTTGCCACCTTATAATAATTTTTTTTTAAAACCATAGTTAAACGCTCAATTATACCTCACACACATTTTTTATTTATTTTTTAAAATTTGTTTGCTCTTCTTTGAGGTCCAAAATTCAACATGAATTAATTTTAAATCCTCCTTCATCTATATATATAGTAGGGTGAAGTGCTGATTTAGTTCCTGAACTATCATCTCAACAAAAATTGGATCCTTGAATGTTTCGGTAAAATAAGTTCCTAAATTCATTAAAAATTGTTAATTTCATCCCTACACTCTTTTATCTAATTTTTTGTCAACTTAAGTCACCTGACACACTTTAGAGTGCAATACTGTCATTTTCTCGTGTAACAAACCTTAACATTTCATATAGGTTGCGAATTTAACATCTAATTTACTCCCTAAAGTTAACTCCATCCACTATTTATTTATGTAAATTTACTAATCTACCCTTGAATGTGTATCACTAAATTAACGAAAAATTGAAAATAGTAGCTTTGAATATAATATTAAGGATGTAATTGGCAGATTTTTATAATTCAAGGATTGATTTTTCTGAAGAAAAAAAAAAAGTAGTTGAGGGACCTAATTTTCACTCAGGTGATAATTCAGAGACTAAATTGACACTTCACCCTATATAGTATATTTAGAATTAAGATTCAATTTAACATATATTTCATCTCCCCCGTTGCCTTTTTTTTTTTCCAAATGTATGCTCTTTAAAAAAAAATTACTATTGGTGCGATGGCAAGTGCCTTCGCCCATAAGCGGTAGGTCTCGGGTTCGAGACTTGGGAGCAGCCTATCCATAAAATGGGGGTAAGGCTAGCCGACATTCACCTCTCCCAGACCCTGCGTAAAGCGGGAGCCTTGTGCACTGGGTACGACATTTTTTTAAGAGGGGAAAATATTTGAATCTATTACATACTATAAAGGGAGTTTCGTATACTCGATGCATGTGTAGAATCTAACACCCTACCTAGGGACGAATCCACTATCGAACCAGGGTGGTCCAGACGTCCGAAGAAGTGCCTGTGAGAACCTCTGAGGACTACCCAACGGGTTGGGCATGTGGTGGAAGAGAGAATACCACCATGGCTTTGCTGTTTTTGGATCTTGGTTCCAACAAAATAGAAAGACTTTTTCTCTTCATTTTTGATGTGATCAACTCTCACTTTTTTTATTTTTATTATTTTTTTAAAATTGTTGTCGGTGCCACCCTAGCATTGTAATTAGCAAAGGGATGATGTATTACTCAACCAATATTTTTATACCATATGTTTGGCACCATTATTTTTTTTTTAAATTCCTATAAATTCACACGATCTCTGAAAAGTATTTTGTAATGTACTATGAACTTTTAGTTGCTTGCATTTTCATCTTATACCATCAAATTCATTATATTACTAAAGCAAAAGTTAGAATCCTGGATCCGTCACTACCCCATTGGGTATTGAACCACATGCAACATGTATATACTTTATTTTAGCTAATTTATAATGAGACTTAGCCCACTCATTCATTCTCATACTATAGATAATATCGTATGTATTTTAAAAAAGAACTGTAATTACTTTATTATATAGAAAAATTGATTTTAGCCTGAATGTGATAAACTATTTTAGGGAAAACTCACTAACCGTAAAGAACAAATTACACCCTTTGACAAGCATTCCACGCAAGCAAACTTTTCTTTTTGAGTTGATGAGTCAGAAGGATTTAGTCACATTTGAGTGAATTTTTCATACCTATTTTACGCTTCATAACTAATAGACCCACATTTTTGTCCTCATTTAATTCCTTACTAGCATATGGGCACACACAAAGTGTATGAGAAAATTTTTTATTTTTGTTTTTGAAATAGGAGAGAGGAAGTGAGTGATAGAGAATGTGGGAGTGGGAAGTTTTTATTTTTTATTTTATAATTAGAGATATGTTAGGATCATATGTAAGTGAGGCTTTGAAAAAAAAAGACAGCAAAATTTGGTTATGTGAAATTACATTTCTGCCCCATATTTCTTATTCATGTTTTATTTTAATGAGAGGATTAAACTGGTAATTTCATAGGATTTTGGTTGACAATGAGTTTTATTAATTAGTAGAGATTTGTATAGTTTTTTTTTACGTTTAGTTTCACATATTTTGTTAATTGTTATTTAATTCTTTATATTATTTTTTATTAGTATAGGTATAAAACATATTAATAATTGTATTCTTTATATTATTTTTTATTAGTATAGGTATGTTGTGTTTTATATAGGTTGTGGACCTGTGGTTAATGCTTTGATTCCAACGAAAAATATTTTTGATTGATTCTTTCTTTCTCATTCGTGTATATCTGTTTGCAACTTATTTTCTTACCTATTTTTCTTCTTTGGTACGTATGTTATATATAATACATTAATTTTCTTGTTTTTTTAGGTGCCAAATCGTATATAATATATCTACTGCTAATCGTTAGACAACTATAATTGTTGTGGGATGATAAAATAAAAATACATACAATTTATTACTTGTTGTAGTTAGAATGTACAACAAATGTGTGATTGTACTGTACAACGTCATGTAATAAATAAATTTACAGAATGCTAAATAAACTATCCCAAAGCAGGATTTTTCATGGAGCTCTACCACCTCATATTTTATGCACAATTCTTTATAATGTTGGCACAAAAATTAATGTTAAACTATAAAATGGTAAAAAATATATAAAAAATCTCACTTTAAAAAGTCTCGTTAGCATTTCTTATAAATTTATATGTTTTTATACTGTTGTTATATAATGCTTAACCATATTTCGTATCATAAAAACCATTCTCCAAAATAATTGCCCATTGGCAGGGAAGTCATGTCACCACGCATGCAGTGGAGCCACGTAATGAATTATAGCTGATTGATCCCAGGTGCCAAGCACCTTCAGTTAATTACTTGATATTGTTATTTCGTGTACAAACCATTTACAAATTCACATTAATTTCTATATTTAAAAGATCAAGAAACGCAACACGAACTAGTGGGCTCATCTTTAGTACTGATGTTAACCAATCACCTAATCACAATATGACTTCAATAAGAGAGATTCAAACTTTCAAGAAGAAAAACCACAACAACTGGACAAAAAATAATATCAACCGAAAACATAACTGTTGTCGGCTGCATATTTTGTCATTGGAGATTGTAATGAGCCACCTATTTTTATTGGGCCTACAATCTTAAGAAGAATATTATACTTTTTGCGTACTTGTCCCACTTGATGTGTTGAAGTTTGGAATAGCAAAAAGTTTTAAGAATGTTCGTGTTGAAGTTGAATCCAAGGTCATTAAGGAATCCATTTTAACAAAGTGTAGAACGTCTTGATGGTTGAAGGTTATTATTGAGGACATCAAGTTACTTGCACGAATTTTTCTTCTATATTTTGGGTTCATGTATTTTGAGAAGCGAATTTTCTTGTTGATGTCACTACTAGCATTAGGCATTTTATTCATGAAATTTATATTTGGATAGGTCTTTATCCATAAACTATTGCTTAAAATGCTTTTCTCTTTGATTTTTACTGAAAGCAGTTGCACTTGAAGTTCTCTTTAAATAACCATGGGTCGTGGACCAAAAAATCAAAGTGTCCAGAGATGTGAGATTTGATGAATTCACTCCTTATTTTTCAAAAAACTCTGAGTCTATTTCGTAGGGAGAGAGTTTCTTGGATTCCTTTCCACTTCCTACTCAAGCTGAAATGCATGAATATAGCTCCCAATTGCTCTCTATTAATCATATTGATGATCATGTGAGTAGTGAAAATTCCACTAATCTTTCTCAAACTCAAGATCAACTCCAAGAAGCTGTGATTGCTCCAAGGAGATACCCTACCAGAGATAGAAAACCACCTGCAAGGTTTCAAAAGTATGTGGCTTATACTGCAAGGCATCCTATTTCTCAAGCTGTTACTTATAAAAATTTGTCTTCATCTCATGCATCTTTCCTTAGTCTAATGTCTAATGAACCTAAAAGTTTTCAAGAAGCTAATGTCAATCCAGTCTGGCAAGAAGCAATGCACGAAGAACTCAAGGCCTTGAATGATAATCACACATGGAGTGTTGTCAAGCTTCCTAAAGGGAAGAAAGCTGTGGGAAGTAGGTGGATTTACAAGACAAAATTTCACTCTGATGGTGAAATTGAAAGGCACAAGGCCAAACTAGTAGCTAGAGGATTCACTCAAACATATGGCATTGATTACAAGGAGACATTTTCTCCAGTTGCCAAGATGAACATTGTGAATGTTCTACTATATGTGGCTGTTAATCATGAATGGCCCTTGTTCCAAATGGATGTGAAGAATGCCATTCTTCATGGTGACCTCGAAGAAGAGGTATACATAAGATTACCACCCAGACATCCTCAAGAGAATGAAACTAATATGGTC